GAGAGAGAGAGAGAGCGAGCGCGCGCGCGCGAGAGAGAGAGAGAGAGAGAGAGGTCGTCGTCGTCGTCGTCGTCGTCGTTGACTCTCTCTCGCTGTCGCGCGCGCTCGCTCGCTCGCCTCGTTGGCGCTGCCGTTTCGTCTGTGGTGATGCAGGCAACGTGGGGATGGATGGAGAAGCGAGCTTTGGGTTGCTGGTGTAGTTGGCCCCAACCAATTTCCCTTTCTGCATTTCTCACCACCTCGCCCCACGCACCTTGTCTGATATAGGGTGTGCTGTTGGGTTGACGGTCCGTTCCCTCCATTGCCTTGCTTGCCCGCTGCTCCGTTGGACCTGTTGCCGCCTCTGCTGCCGGGCTTGTCTCCTTCTTCCGGGTCTTGAGCATTTCAAGCTCTCGTTGGCTTTTCGGGTATGTTTGTGGGCGAGGCAGTTTTGACACGCGCCAAGTGGCGCGGTTCGCCCAGCCGTCACAAGCAGCACAAGTGTGCCGGTGCCACTCGCCCTTGCTCCCCCTTTCCATCTCAAGATTGGATGGCGTTTATCCGTGCCCCGCTCGGCCCGACTGGCAGGCCCTTGATTCACCGTCATACCTCACACTCCCCTCTCTCCTCGTCCTGTCCCCTGGGTACCGTTGCCACTGGCCTCAGGACGCCTCCACCTGCATCATGGAACTTCGTGTGGGCACCAAGTACCGCATCGGCCGCAAGATTGGCTGTGGCTCCTTTGGTGACATCTATATCGGTTTGTGCCCACCCTGGCCTTTCGACTCGCACCGCTCCACCACTCGTCCTGTTCCCCTTGTGCTCTGCCATTCTTCCGATTGACCAACTTGTGTCCGTCTCCAGGCTCAGACATCACTTCGGGCGAGGAAGTTGCCATCAAGCTCGAGAATGTTCGCACCCCGCACCCTCAGCTTCAATATGAAGCCAAGCTCTACAAAATTCTCCAGGGCGGCGGTTCGTTTCTCCTTTCTGCAGCCCCTCCTCATTCCGCCTGCCACCACTTTCTCAATTTCTGACCCCTCTCTTTGGCGTCCTGGGACTTCAGAGGGCATTCCAAAGGTCAAGTGGTTTGGGGTCGAGGGTGACTACAATGTCATGGTCATGGAGCTGCTTGGCCCCAGCCTCGAAGACCTCTTCAACTTTTGCAACCGCAAATTCTCCGTCAAGACCGTGCTCCTTCTCGCAGATCAAATGGTACGGGCCGCTGCTTGCTGTTCAGCGTGCGCCCTGTCGCTGCTCTGACGACAGGCTTGGACATCAGGAGCACAGCCTCACACCATCATAACCTACTCTATTTTAGATTTCTCGAATCGAATTTGTCCACAACAAGAACTTTTTGCACCGCGACATCAAGCCCGACAACTTTATGATGGGCCTTGCTCGTCGCGGCAACCTCGTAAGAAACTCCTTTCCCCGTCTGCATTTTCTGCCCATGTGGCGACGAATTTCAGTCGCTTTTGTTTCAGGGTGCAAAGCCCAGGCATGCAACAGCCTCTTTCTTTCCCTCGTTCATATTCACGGTTGTCGGTGTGCCTCCCTCTTTCTTTTTATTTTATTGATTTTATTTTTTTTAATTTCTAGGTCTACCTGATTGACTTTGGCTTGGCCAAGCGCTACCGTGATGCCCGCACCCACAACCACATTCCTTACCGTGAAAACAAGAACCTCACCGGCACCGCCCGCTATGCGAGCATCAACACTCATCTTGGCATCGGTCAGTGCTTGAACGGGGCTCTTGGGGGTTTTTTCCTCTTCCTCCTCTTACATTGGAAAATCCCTTGGCCTGCATCTTACCGTGCCGCCTCACGCCTCTGCATGATATTGCATTGCACTTTACAGAGCAAAGTCGCCGCGATGACTTGGAGTCTCTGGGCTACGTTCTGATGTACTTCAACCGTGGCTCACTGCCGTGGCAAGGCCTCAAGGCCGCCACCAAGAAGCAGAAATACGAGCGCATCTCTGAAAAGAAGATCAGCACCCCCATTGATGTGCTCTGCAAGGGCTTCCCCAGCGAATTCGGCTCATACCTCAACTTTTGCCGCTCCCTTCGCTTTGATGACAAGCCCAACTACTCGTACCTCCGTCAGCTTTTCCGCAATCTCTTCCATCGGGAGGGCTTTGTCTATGATTACGTCTTTGATTGGACCGTCATGATTAAGGAGCAGCAGGTGCAAAGCAAGGAGCGCGACTCCACCAAGGGTGCCGCCAAGACCTCGACCGGCGCCAAGCCTTAGGTCAAACCTTTGCAAGCTCGGCTTTTTTTCTTTTGCTTGCTACTTCCCCGTCTGCGCACACATGTTTGTGTGTGGGCTTATGCGCCTCAATGTTTACCTCTGTGTTTTGTCTGGCTTGTGGCCGTTGTGGCGACTATACTAGTGGTGGTGGTGGTGGTGGTGGCTGTTGTCTCTTGCCCGTCTCTTGTCCGTCAAATGTTTTCCTTTTGCTCTTCATGTCTTGTGCAAGTTTTGGTGTGACCGGCGTGTCCAGCGATTGACGAGCTCCAAAAACCTTTCCGAGTTGCTGCGCAACTCAAGATAGGTTCACCATCAGGGTGCTCCTTTACCGTTGACCGGTGTTTCCCCACCCCACCCCACCCTCCCTTGCCGTCCTGCATTGTTCCTTGACTTTCTGGTTCTGACAATTGATGTCAAGCAATGACCCAGTTGTATGACCTCCGAAGGAAAGGTTCTGATTATCAATCAGTTCTGGCCACAGAAACAAAACCGAAAGAAGGTCTAAAATTCAAGAACACACAAAAAAAAAATTCATCCCACATCTCATGTCTCATGGGCACCACCAGTCAGGAAGGAACGTCGGCGTGGTGCTAGTGAGGGTGAGGGCAAAGGGGATCCAGACCGCGAACGGCCGCTCAGCGGCGACATGACCCCCCGCCCGGGTGTACTGTAGAGCGCATTTTGCGGGGCGCGGCCCCGTCTCGGTTCTGCCTCCCCGCTGCCACGCCGATCAGGAGAAAAGGGTACGGGCTCAGGCAGTAGCGAGACATCTGGAAATGTTACATTGGCCCAGGGCGGTGCGCGGCCATCAACGCCCAAGGCTTGTTGTTGCTGTTGCTGGAGCCCCAGAAGCACGGTATTGCCGCGTCGTAAAGTCCAGTAGAACAGCAATGCGACTCCTATCTGAACCAGAAGAACCAAAAAGTTGGGCCACATCCAGTAGAAAAAGGTGGTATGGTAATTGACTCCGACCAAGCGCTCGCTGACTTTGACGAGCGTCTCGACCTGCGCATGCAGGTTCTGTACCGCTCCCGTGAGCGTCTGCAACTCGGCATGCAAGGTCTGATTCATCTGTGACACGTTTTTGTCGAGCGCCAACGCTTTTTGTGACAGCTTGTTCAAATATGTGCTGGACATGGTCAAATTCTTCTCCACGGCGTTGATCATGGTGCGCAGCTGAGCCAGCGCAGAGCCTTTCACGCTCAAACTCGTGGCCTTGAGCTGTGGCTGCGCGTGCGGCCCATGCTCGTCAACTCCACCACCAGCCTTGTTGGCACCAGCCTTACCGGCACTGTTCAACTTGCCATGCCCGGCTTTGTTGGCTGGTGCACCTGTTTGGGTGTTGTTCTTCTCATGACCCTCACTTGAGCGCCCCGCAGCTGAAGACGCTGGGGTAGGAGTGGGAGCAGGGGCAGGAGCCGAGGCAGGAGCAGGAGTAGGGGCAGGAGCAGGAGCAGGAGCAGGGGCAGAGGCAGGAGTAGGGGCTGCTTCGGCAGAAGTTGCATTCTTTATGGCAGCTTGTTCAGCCTCGACGTGCGCCAAAGTGGCCCTGATGACCCCCTCAGGTGAAGCCCGATGATCATCAACTGAGCCTGGTGTGTCTTTGGAGTCACCCTCGTGATGTAGTGGCTGAGCTTCCGGATTGGAAGCCGACACCGGTGTGCCTGTTTCTTCAGCGTGCCCTGCAGGCATCAGTTCAGCCCCCCCGGATCCCAGTGTGGGAGCAGCCGAGTCAGTGGGGGCAGTGGGCACTTGAGTCGAAACATGAGTGTCATCAGCAGGAGCAACCTGCTCTTGTGGCTTGGTGCTGGCATCCTCTTTGTTAGACTCGGCGGTATCCGAGCTATCAGCAGCGGCTTGGCGTGCAGGGGCACCCGCAGGGTGGGCGCTGTCTGCTCTCGGACCATCACAAGCACCCTCACACCTCTCGCCAGCCTCCATCCCATCCATGTCCGCCATGCCTGCCCCACCTTGCTCGGCCTCGTGGTGAGTCTGTTGCGCTTCGGAATTGTCCGCCGTCTCTGCACCAGCCAGTGCCGAGTCTAGAATGGGGGGCAATGTCTCGTTGGCGCGTGGAGAACAGATGGGCCAGAGAAAGTGTTGCTGTGGGTCATTAAGCGATGCGTCGAGCGTGTGGTTTTGCATCATCTGAGACAAAGCAGGAGCGGCAGCTAGCGCCGGTGGCGCTGAAGCGGCCGGTCGGTTTGGCTTTTCGCCCCACAGCATGTGGCCCACGTTCAGGGCTTTGGCCACGAATTGACCTGGCATTGATGATGGCACGTGAGATGACAGCTAGAGCCAAAGGATCACAAAAGGATACCAGCTTCACACGGGAAGAAAGAAAGAAATTTGCTCACGCATATTCAAGGCACAAACCAATTTTGTTGACGGCATCCCCAGTGGCAGACGCTCCTCCCGTGTTGTCCTCTGTCGATGCTTCTTCATTGGTAGGTGTATGGGAGGCCGCTGCATTGATGGCCACGCTTGGTTGAGCAGGTTCGATGCCCGAGTCTGGGTCGCCCACCATGTATTCAAACTCCTCAAGCATGGTAACGCCAAAGACTTGCAGAACACTATTCGAACATGCACAAAGCGAGGCGTGAGACGGTAGTATGCAAGACGCACATTTGGCCGCCTTTGAAAAAAACAGCGCAATAAGGAGATTGGGCGGTCTCGTACTTGATGGGGCAGTAGAACTCGTTGCCATAATGATCAATGGCCTCGAGTTTGAGAAATTTTGCAAATATGGTCACGTCGTCAATGGCAAACGTTTGCAGATCACGAACATCGGCCAACTGTAGCTCGGCAACTTTATGCCAGTTCTCTGGTGAAGATCTGCGACGCGGTTGGCATCAACCACAGCCACAATCAAGCAAAGAAATTCGCAAGGCACATGGCGTGGCGGCGGGTGACGATACTGACCGCTCCGCAACGTAGAGCGCGAGGGTTTTGATCATGGAGGAGAACATTTCATAGTTGGCCAACTGCAGCGTGAAAGGCAGGAAGATCAAGGTTAACGCCGTGCATGTGCAGGACTGTGACCCGCATCAGGATGTGTATTGCTCATACCTTGACCTGCTGCACGATAATGTGCTCACAAAGCTCTATGGTCAGCTCAATATCAGCTTCGCAAGGTGCAATGAGGTAGGTATCTTTGACAGGTTTGAGGATGGCTGAGGCTGATTTAACAGCATTGGACGTTGAGATAATCTTTCACACGAGGCAAGGCGGGAGGGGGAGTTGAGCGACAATGAAGGTTTTGAGCATGGGGCAGCGAGTGCATGGGTCTGCAGAACATGTGAAGGACAAAACTGAGCGCAAAAGACTCACTTGGGCTCCACAATCACTGGCTGCATAGTTGACGCGCTTAGGGAGCTGGCTAATATGTGGAACTAACAGCAAGGCAAGGACGGAACGAGCCCGCTCAGTTACCGCGCTGTGCCTTCAGGTCACCAACGGGCGGTGCATGGTACGGCCGAACCTTTTGCTGCTTCGATTATTTCTTCATCTTCATTGATGAGCTGCTTCCACTCGTCGAATGTCAGGCTCTCATCCACTTGGGCACTTGGTGATTCTTCGGGTGACACCTCGCCGTCGTCTGGACTTGCGTCGGAGCCTTGGCTGGGCTCCGCTGCATCGGGCGTGGGTACCTCATGGATGGGCAGATCATCAACGCCTTCTGCAACATCTGAAGCCGTAGGCGGCGAGGGCATCGAAGCTGGGGAAGGCGCCGACCCAAGCTCAGCTTGGGGTGCGGGTGGGACATCTGATGGCGTGACCACCGTGGCGTGGATCGCGTTTGATCCTGGCCCAGCCTTTTCAGGTGCCGTCTCGCTCTCAACGATAAAACCAGCATCCTTATCAGCAAGATCCTCCGGCCGCTCATGCACACTCTTGTCATGGCCGCCATCCACTTGCCCACCCACGGCGGCGAGCAAGAGGCACGTGAGCACCAGAGCCAGCCGGAGGCGCCGAATCGAGGCGCCTCGAGCCATGACCCGCGTTTCACCTTGGCCACGTAACAACTCTTGGGGGCACCGCCCAACCAAGGTGGCAGAAGCCGCGCACACGACAACCTGTAAGCAAGACCACTCGCATCAGCGTACGTGCCACAGGAGATTCAAAAAGGGGGCAGCGTGCTCGGGCGGAAGGCACGGCCACTCGCGCACGGCAAATGCGTGTCGTGTACAACAACCCCGACATCAGTCAGGGGACCTTTTTTAAAAATTGAAACTCCCTCTTCAAAGTATAAGGGGTCATTCTATACAGGGTTACATTTTCACTTCAATCTCACAGTCCATCCGCTAACAATGGAGTTCCA